CATTCCTTCATAGACTCTGTGGTGTGTTTTGTTTATTTTTTGTCAATTGTCCTCCAATATCTGAAATATGTTTCAAAAATATGGTAAAATCTGGTTTCTTGTTTTATCTTGTTTCAGTATGCGCTTTTCCTTAGTCCCAATTGCACTATGGAAAAACCGTATTATATAGAGTGAGAGGTGTGTCATAGCGTTGCACTTTTCTTCTAAGCCCTCGTGCCGCTCTCCTTTTTCTCTTGCTTGACAAGGAATAAATTAATGTCTCACTTTTTTCTCAGTTTTTTTTTTTTTTTTTATATCAAAGAATTAATTATTTAATAATATAATAATTAAAATTTTTAAGTTAATAACTATTGATTTATCTAAATTCTTGTTGGTGTGTTGATCCTTTCTTGTCTAGTCTAAATGGTGCTCTCTTTTCTTGGAGTGTTCGTTACAATCTCAAAAAGCAGAAAAAGTTCATGCATAACGTAATCCTTTGGGAGCAAGGATTTAGAGGACTCAGTGCGTTCCAGACAGTCCAATAAAGATAAAGAAGAGTGTTCGGTAAAATTTTTAAAATGTGTATTTTTAAAGTATTATTTTTGTTTTATAAAATTAAAATTTTTTTGGATAATGTATTCCTTTGGCAGTAAGGATTCAAAGGACCAACCTCTCCATTGGCCTGCTGGCTTGGCGTATTTTGCGAAATGGTTAAGCCACAGGTCATGGGTTCGAGGTTGGTAAAAGCAAGGAGAAGCAAAGTAAGGATTCAAAGGATTAAGTACGTTCCTGACAGTTTCCAATGAAGATAAAAAAATATATATTTGGTAAAGTTTTAAGAATTTTGATTTAAAATTTGAAATTTTATTAGAAAAAAGTTTAAAAATTATTTTTTAAGTGAGTTTCAAGTGAATTTTAAAAAATTACCTGAGTTAGGCTATCCAAACTTTTTTAAAATTTATTTAAAACTCATTTTAAAAGATAATTTTTGAATTTTTTAATAAAATTTTAAATGTATGAAAAAAATAATATTTTAAAAATAAATATATTTTAAATTTTGTCAAACACCTTCAAACTTGATGCATTCCTTTGGTAGCAAGGATTCAAAGATTCCAAAAGTAGTGTTCCTTCCTTCCGGACAATCTAGCAAGAGAAACTAGAGCTTTTTATCTTTATCGGGGCTAAGTGAATGGTTACTGACAAATAAAATTTGTCAATTTGGCATTAATCCTTTTTTTTTTGGGCTTCTCTGGAGGCGTAAATTAAAGAATGGTTCTTTTTTGGGGCAGGCCTCTAATGAGGCCCAAACTTAAATCTAGGACCCTCCTCCAGTGCCGCAGCTTGGGTTCGCTTTGATATATCCTTCTTCAATTTATGTTTTCAAATGAATTTAGAATCCGTGAAGTTTAGCTGTAGTTCGGCCCTTGAGGTAGGATCTACTGGCAATTAGTACACTCACG